AGGGTTTCTAGATCTAGTGATGAATTGGGGTTTCTATTTACTCATAAATACTTTGAATTGAAACGATTTTCAGTGATGGATGCAATAAGAATGTAGCTGTAGCGCTTATAAGTATGCACAATTGCAGTCTCGACGCCAAGATCAGAGGCAATCTGGGTAAAATCATCATCTTTCAGTCTCATAATCACTGATTTTTTAGTCATGTTTTCACATTTTGTTTGTTTTTTCAGAAGCCCAAGTTGTTGAGACACAAATTGAGGCTAAGAAGAAACCTGTAGAGAGGTAAAACTCGTTTGATTTTTTTTTCTCTTACTGAATGTATATGTGGGCTTGAATTTTGCTGATGTTTGTTTGGATTTTTTCAGGAAGAAGTCAACATCTGATGAGCCTAAGGCAAAGAGACTCAGAAAGACTAAGGATGAAAAGAAGAGCTCTAACTCAAACAAGCCTAAACGACCTCTTACTGCTTTCTTCATTTTCATGTAAGCTACTTAACTGATGTCTCACACTTATTTTTTTTGTTGATGGTTGTATACTCTTGAGGGATGATGTTGATGCTTCCTTCACCTTGCAGGGGTGATTTCCGTAAAACTTTCAAAGAAGAGAATCCTAGCTCTAATGTTAAGGATGTAAGAATGAAGTTGTGCTAATTACTGTACTTGTGGTACTATGTTTTAGTGTTTTTTGAGATTTACTAGATTGTGTGCTATGTTATATGATTTGTAGGTTGCAAAGCAAGGTGGAGAAAAGTGGAAGTCTTTGACTGAGGAAGTGAGTTGCTCTGTTCTTTGTTTCTTCCTTGAGTCTCATGGTGATTTGTTTACTGTGTATGTTCTTACTCTTGTTGTGTTTCTTTGATCACTTAGGAGAAGAAGGTTTATTTGGATAAAGCAGCTGAACTAAAGGCAGAGTATAACAAGTCACTTGAGAGCAATGATGCTAATGAGGAAGTATGTGTTTCTTAGTTAATGTTTTGTCTAATATTTTTACTTTTATTACATGGAATCTTGAGTCCTAAGTTGATTCTGTGACTCATTTAGGAGGAGGATGATGAGGAGAAGCAAGCTGATGATGCTGAGGAGAAACCAGCTGATGATGCTGATG